GCTACAGAATCACAAACAAAGAACTGTACCAAATAACAGAAACCACATCACTTGAGGACTTTCAACAGCAACCCTTCTTCAAACCTCGGGGTCTGGCGCTACAAAATCACAAACAAAGATCTGTACCAAATAACAGAAACCACATCACTTGAGGACTTTCAACAGCAACCGTTCTTCAAACCTCGGGGACCGGCGCTACAGAATCACAAACAAAGAACTGTACCAAATAACAGAAACCACATCACTTGAGGACTTTCAACAGCAACCCTTCTTCAAACCTCGGGGTCTGGCGCTACAAAATCACAAACAAAGATCTGTACCAAATAACAGAAACCACATCACTTGAGGACTTTCAACAGCAACCGTTCTTCAAACCTCGGGGACCGGCGCTACAGAATCACAAACAAAGAACTGTACCAAATAACAGAAACCACATCACTTGAGGACTTTCAACAGCAACACTTCTTCAAACCTCGGAGACTGGCGCTACAGAATCACAAACAAAGAACTGTACCAAATAACAGAAACCACATCACTTGAGGACTTTCAACAGCAACCCTTCTTCAAACCTCGGGGTCTGGCGCTACAGAATCACAAAAAAAGAAGTGTACCAAATAACATAAACCACATCACTTGAGGACTTTCAGCAGCAGCCCTTCTTCAAACCTAGGGGGCTGGCGCTACAGAATCACAAACAAAGAACTGTACCAAATAACAGAAACCACATCACTTGAGGACTTTCAGCAGCAGCCCGTTTTCAAAGCTCGGGGACTGGCGCTACAGAATCACTAACAAAGAACTGTACCAAATAAGAGAAACCACATCACTTGAGGACTTTCAACAGCAACCGTTCTTTAAACCTCGGGGATTGGCGCTACAGAATCACAAACAAAGAACTGTACCAAATAACAGAAACCCCATCACTTGAGGACTTTCAACAGCAGCACTTCTTCAAACCTCGGGGACTGGCGCTACAGAATCACAAACAAAGAACTGTACCAAATAACAGAAACCACATCACTTGAGGACTTTTAACAGCAACCCTTCTTCAAACCTCGGGGTCTGGCGCTACAGAATCACAAAAAAAGAAGTGTACCAAATAACAGAAACCACATCACTTGAGGACTTTCAGCAGCAGCCCTTCTTCAAACCTAGGGGGCTGGCGCTACAGAATCACAAATAAAGAACTGTACCAAATAACAGAAACCACATCATTTGAGGATTTTCACCGTTAGCCCGTCTTCAAACCTCGGAGACTGGCGCTACAGAATCACAAATAAAGAGATGTACCAAATAACAGAAACCACATCACTTGAGGACTTTCAGCAGCAGCCCGTCTTCAAAGCTCGGGGACTGGCGCTACAAAGAACTGTACAAAATAAGAGAAACCACATCACTTGAGGACTTTCAACAGCAGCCCTTCTTCAAACCTCAGGGACTGGCGCTACAGAATCACAAACAAAGAACTGTACCAAATAACAGAAACCACATCACTTGAGGACTTTCAACATCAGCCGGTCTTCAAACCTCGGAGACTGCCGCTACAGAATCACAAACAAAGAACTGTACCAAATAACAGAAACCACATCCCTTGAGAATTTTTCAACAGCAGCCCCTCTTCACACCTCGGGGACTGGCGCTACAGAATCACAGACAAAGAACTGTACCAAATAACAGAAACCACATCACTTGAGGACTTTCAGCAGCAGCCCGTTTTCAAAGCTCGGGGACTGGCGCTACAGAATCACTAACAAAGAACTGTACCAAATAAGAGAAACCACATCACTTGAGGACTTTCAACAGCAACCGTTCTTTAAACCTCGGGGATTGGCGCTACAGAATCACAAACAAAGAACTGTACCAAATAACAGAAACCCCATCACTTGAGGACTTTCAACAGCAGCACTTCTTCAAACCTCGGGGACTGGCGCTACAGAATCACAAACAAAGAACTGTACCAAATAACAGAAACCACATCCCTTGAGGACTTTCAGCAGAGACTTCTTCAAACCTCCTGGGTCTGGCGCCACAGAATCACAAACAAAGAACTGTACCAAATAATAGAAACCACATCACTTGAGGATGTTCAACAACAGTAACACCTAATGTGGATATCAAGCGTAACTCAAAATGAAAATAATGACATAATCAAGATTCTGACGTTCCACACGACTTCGAACAAAAGGTTAGGAAGGAAACCCTCGTTAGTACTGGAAATCTATGAGAATTTAATATTTAATACATTTTATTACTATTAAGGAGATTTGTGAAACTGAGAAAATTCTTTTACAATAATATGAAATTCTCGATAAATCTCTTGAAATGGTTTTTCGCAAAGCGAAGAAATTCTTTTACAATGAAATTCTAAATAAATCTCTTGAAATGGTTTTTCGCAAAACGGGGGAAATTGCTTCATATGTTTCTCTCCAGTTGGAGTACACACAGGCACCCAGATCCCTACTTCAGTTTACACTGTGCCCATGATTGAATTTATTTCACAGTGGAAAGCCAACGCCTCCCTGGCACATGCCGGCAAACATAGACCTCCGTGCCCGAGAAAAAAAAAGTGGTGTTAAAAGAACGGTTTTTACCATGACACTGCTATTATTTTAACTACCTTCACTCCTCGGAAAGGTTTATTGTTTTAGAATATTAGATGATTAGAATTGTAATAAAACCTAAATATATGAAAGTGAATTTATACGTTTTCTTTGTTCTCGAGAATTGGCAACAAAAATAATAAAGTTTATTTATTAGATTATTTATTCGAATGGTTGACATAAGTAACAATTAATTACCAATCAATTCAAACTTTATAAAATAGTAAATCATAAGTATTTCTTTATAGTTAATTCGCGTATTTTATAATATATTTAATTGCATTGCATTAGTTCTAATTGTATAAGTTTTTAGAATGTTGTAAATATAAAATTATTCTTGTTAAAAAACAATCCAATAAATAAATGGGAGTTACAAAAAATCAGTTTAATTAATAATATTTTCTTTTTTTTTTCTTCTTTTTCGTATTCTTTTGCATTCAGTAGCCCTTTGCATCCCGATGCCTTTATTGTTTTCCTTAGATTAAAACGAATAAAAGAATCCCTTTGCTTGTTTTTGAAGACTATATGTCACGTAGCCTAGAAGAGTTTTTGTTAGATTATTTTTGGTTGGTAAGGTTTAGCAATTCATGAACAAACGTGCCCGCAATAAAACGTAGTTTCAAAAGGACGTAGTTTCCAATGATACCGCTTTTTTTTTTTAACTACCTTCTCTTTTTGGCAATTTTTATTGTTTTAAAAAGCAATGATTAGAATTGTAATAAAACCTAAACATATGAAAGTGAATTTATACATTTTCTTTGTTCTTGAGAATTGACAACAAAAATAATAAACACTATTTATTTATTAGATTGTTTATTGGAATGGTTGGCAAAACATTGGCTAATTGCCAATTATATTCAAACTTTATAAAATGGTAAATAAATATAAAAGTGAACATTGAAGTCAACACTCAGAGGCGACAGTCTGTTTCATGCTAGACACAATCGTCAGGCCGCCTGACGAGAGTTTCTAGCATGAAACAGACTGTCGCCTCTGAGTGTTAACTTCAATGTTCACTTTTATATTTACATACGCTCTATCTGTGATATTGAGCACTTTATCTGTTTACCGAATTACAGGATCTTTGGTGAATTTTCTGTACATATTTTTGTATGATTTTTGACATAATTATATTTTATTACGATGAGATGTGCTGTTCCTGTATTTACTATTTGTAAAGGATGTTTTATGAGCGTAGTTTCTCTGTTTGTAGGACCCTTCAGTTCCTCCTATGTATATTTCTTCTTCGTAATCTGCTGATTTTAAAGTGGCTTGGTATATTACATTGTTTTGTAAGCAATTGCCATTTAAGGGACATTCTTTCTTCCCTGTGTAGCTATAGGTTCGTTTGTTTTGTGCGGGTGGTTTATTGGTTATTTTTCTGTTGTGCTTTTTAATTATTTGTGCCACTGTATGCCACTCGGTGCAACTGTAGCTGAGTTTTACTGTATTTCTAATGAATATCTCGTGAAGAGTGCTAGAAGAGGGAAGTGTTTGTGTATGAGTCTGATGAATATTTTTCCTGCGTTTCTTTTTAAAATGGGCAAAAGGAGAACGAAATTCTTTAAGACTTTTCCTTATGTACAACGCCACCCAGTGAGCTTTAAGAGAAGACACCAGGCAGTATGGTTGATCGAGACTTCCATCGGTAGCCGGTTAGGGTTAAAAGGTTACGTATAGACACAGAAGGAATGTTTACAGACATTGAGAAAGAACCAGAAGTTTTTTTCCGTTTCGGCCGATTGGTGTTACAAAAAAAAAAAAAAAAAAAAAAAAAAAAAAAAAAAAAAAACGAACACTTGTTCAAAGAGAGGTGCAAAAAATAATGTTGAAAAAAAAGATGACAATTTCCATTTTATATTCTTAAACACAGTCATAAATTCAAATAACGGATACATTCCTTTTTATTTATTTTTTTTTCGGTTTATCGGCCCTACATGCAAGCTGCTAGTGGCCTGCTGGCGGACCGCCGATGGCAACGCCAGCGGTCCTCTGGTGGGAGCCAGCGACAGGCCAACGGCGGCCTACCGGTGAGCCTCTAGCGGCCCTCCAGTGGTAGCGTTGCCGAAACGAACACGCCGGCGGTCCGACAGCGCGCTACCAACGGTAAACACTAGCAGCATGCCACCCAGTAACAGATTGGTGGCTTGCATGTAAGGAACCCACTTCAGGTTATTTAAAGCCAGAGAATAATTTTAGATTTTAAGAATTCTTTTCAAAGATAATAGTGGTTTAATGATACTTACTAATTAACCCATAGCTGAGGGAGAAGAGGTGGATTTATACCTTTCCCAGGGTATTAGCGCATAAGCAAATATAACGAACCAACTGGAATTGAAACTCGGATCTCCGATTCCTGACTCTAAGCCATTATCGATTACACCACCCGCACATCCAAATTTACAGCACCTGGTATTTCCAAGCGGTCACCCATCTAGATACTGACCAGGACCGACGTTGCTTAACTTCGGACATCGTACGAGAACTGGTGTTTCAATAGGATATGGTCGTAAATCCTTTATACCATCTGCGCATACAAGCTTACAGCACTTGGTATTCCCAAGCAGTCACCCATCTAGGTACTGACCAGGATCTACGTTGCTTAACTTCGGCGATCGTACGGGAACTTGTACTTCAATATATCACCCGGTCATACAAGCTTACAGCACCTTATATTTCCAAGTAGTCACCCATCTAGGTACTGACCAGGCTCGATGTTGCTTAACTTTAGTGGTCGCAGGAGAAATGATATGGCCGTAATTCCTTTATATCACCCGCACATACAAGCTTACAGTACCTGATATTCCTAAGCGGTCACCCATCTAGGTACTAACTAGGCTCGACGTTGCTTAACTTCGGTGATCGTACGTGAACTGTGGTTTCAATATGATATGGTCGTAAGTCCTTTATATCACCCGCACATACAGTACTTGGCATTCCCAAGCGGTCACCCATCTAGGTAGTGACCAGGATCGACGTTGCTTAACTTCGGTGACCGTTTGAGAACTAGTGTTGTAATATGATATGGCCGAAATACGATACAATGGTGGAGTTATACAATAGTCACTGCGACCAGAAATGATCCCCTTTTAATATTTTACTATAGATTTGCTTTGTAAATTAATTGGGAATTGATCCGCTGGTGTGATTATTAAAAAAAAAAACTGTCCTGGGTAAGACGATAAACTACATCCAGCAGCAAGGCCTCTGATTGGGAAGTTTTGAGGAGCGTGGAACCACCTTTTAATTGCTGTTGTTCCCAGGTCCACCATGATCCAGGTTGGTAGCTCTTATTAGGGTCCCAGCAAGCGGGAACGGGAACGCAAGAGTTGGTCAGACATAATCAGAGTAGACAGACATGACAATGCCGGATCTCCTGAGAGCCACTGCCAACAGATCATCCTGGAAGAGGTTGTCAATTTCTTCTGCCCTTACCCACGATTGAAGCAGACGGGGGACTGAGAGTGATAAAAAAAAATGGGAATGAAACATTCAAGAGATTGCTGCAAAAAAAAAATACAAGAAAAATAAAAAAAAATATATATAAAAAGAATAGTGTTCGTATTTCACTGAAAACAAAGATAAAATTTAATATGGGGGTCAGTAGAGTTGGGGCTGCTAAAAATTCGGACGGACATATCAAAAGGGGGAGAGAATATGGAAGCCACCCGTTCAGTCGTTAGAAAGTGTTTTCTTTCCAAGGGACGAAGTGTCCTATTTCTTTTATGGTTCAAGACTGTCTTACAGAGGTGAGTTTTTTTTTGTTTTTTTTTTTGTTTTAGGCGCGAAGACTTCGTATTGGCTGGAATATTCTTTCTTTCTTTCTTTCTTTCTTTTCACAATAAATTTGCATATCCTTCCCTATCGACTTAAAATTTAAAACAACTTCACCTATATTTACATTCGAACTTTTTTGTTGTTGTCATGTTTCATTCGTTGTGCCCTCCTTTCTTTCTCACTGTTCTTTCTTCCTTTTGTTTGCTTGTTTCTTTCTTCCTTTTGTTTGCTTGTTTCTTTCTTTTTCTTTTTTCTTTCTTTCTTTCTTTCTTTCTTTCTTTCTTTCTTTCAATTCATTCCTTTCTTTGTTTCTTTTCTTTTCTTTTCTTTTCTTTCTTTCGTATTTTCTTTCTTTGTCACATTTCTTTCTTTTCTTTCTGCCCTTTTTTCTTTGTTTCATTTTTCTTTTCTTTTTTCTTTCCTTCTTTTTTTCTTTCTTTTCTATATTATTTCTCTCTTTTCCCTTTTCCTTTATTATTATTTACATTAGAACTATTGTCCTGATCTTTGTTGTTGTTATCACAACGTTTCTTTCTTTCTTTCTTTCTTTCTTCGGAAGTTATGCGTGATCGGCCTACACCGAAAAAACAATTTCCCCCTTGTATTCCAGCTATGGAAGACGTCAACTTCCACTTTCACGTCCCGTTGACTACAGCAGACAAGATGGGCGTAAATCCCTCACATCTCCTGAGTTACCAGATGATATTAGACACGAAGCTAATTTTCGAGAGAGATGTGAAAAAGGTTAGCTTCATCAAATTAACCGAGTTATGCGTGATCTGGTTAGACAATCAACAATCTTTGTGGGTCAGTGAGTTTGGCGGTACATCTGGATTCTAGTGCATTACATCTGGATTCCAGATGTCAGTAATCTTATAAGAACGTCTTTCACATGTATATGAGACTTTTAAACGCAAGATATTCCATAGATATCGATGTTATGATATTTTGTGTAATTTCTCTGTTATTTTTTGCATTATCAAAAAAGATGGTGGATATGCGGATGTCGGCGCAGAAAGTAGAATCGTCGAGTCGAATTCGAATTCCGAGCTAGTCTTTTGCATCCACTTTCATAAAAATACCATTGGTGAAATTATAAATCCATCTCTTCTACCCACTATCTATGGGTTAAATAGCAGAGCAGACTGGTCTCTCTAGCCTTTTGTTTACCAATTCAGGAGAAGGAAAACTCTGAAGTCCAAACTGTGGAGAAGGCAACGAGAAGCCGTTCCACTGATGCTAACTCACAGATAATAAATTGGTTTGTTTCATTCGTTTTCTACAGATTATCAACCCTTTTCAAATTACTTAAAGCCCCAAACATTTTAGATTGTGTTGTGGCCTTGTTAGGGCGAGAAATAAAGACACAAAGAGAGGAATTGAGTTAAACAAATATATTAACAGAAACAGTAATACAAACATATAAAACAATAGTGTTACAGCAAGAATGTTTGGTCCAACTGACAGAGCTGACTGCTGGAAATTTCACCACTTTAAAAGGCAGTACCTGCTCCTATTTATAGCTGGAAGAGTTCATATGTACGTGGGTAAATTACCATAACAGATTGTAAGAATTTAAAAAAAAATAATAATGGTTTAGGGATTACTTACTAATTAATCCATAGCTGGGGAGAAGAGGTGGATTCATGTCTTTCCCAAGGGTATTTGCGCGTAAGTGAATATAACGAACCCAAATTGGAGTTGAAACTCGGCTCTCCGATTAACAATTCCGAACCATTATCCAGTACACCACCCGCACATCCAATCTTACAGAACCTGGTATTTCCAAGCAGTCATCCATATAGTTACTGACCAGTCTCGACGTTGCTTAACTTCGATGATCATACGTGAACCGGTGTTTTGAACGTTTTGCGAATTCCCACACATAATAAAGAAACCTGTTTGCCTACGCCATGAATGGATATGGCATTAAAAATTAATAATAATAATAATAATAATAATGGCTGATCATTTCCAAGTACACCTGTCTGTCTGGATTTCTAGCTAATCCCTGTTGCAGACGCTGCTCAGACACGTTTATGTTTTTCAACACTACCCAACCTGTAGTCTATATTGCAGCCATGCTGATCAGACTTTAGTTACAGTTTCTACAAGAGAAGACATAATGTGATGTGATCAGTAGCTGAGCAAAGCTAGCACATGTGAACCCTCGGTCACGATGCTTTTGAGACTATGTGCTTCCAACCAGTACCTTCTACCCACTTTCACACACAGGACTAGTGCAGTTTTCAGTCCCCAACAGGAAATACATAAAAAATACATTTGATGGCATAAAGTCTACTGGTAAGCTCAGATACTGTTCCTACACACAAGCTGTTAGTGGCCCTCTAGCGGGCCGTCAATGGAAACGCCAGTGGTCCTCTGGTGACAGCCACCAGTGCCACTGGTGGGCCTCTAGCATTTCGCCAGTGGTAACATTGTCAACACTGCCGCGCCAGCGGCCCTATAGCAGGCCATCAGCGGCAAATGCTAGTGGCATGCCACCCAATGGCAGATGATGGCTTGCGTGTAGGGTTGGGATGTTCTGGGTGTGGTGTGTCTGGGCTTCAGACTTCTGTTGCATCACAGTAGCTATATGAATTTATCATGTACACACTCACACACACATATGCATAGATATATTTTATGTATACTTTTTGATTAATCTTTGTTTGAGGATACAAGGTTGTTACAATATTAAGCCTCAGATTTATATATATTCCTATATCTTATATACAAAGTAAAGTGTATTATGTGTGTTTGTGAGTGTCCAAGCAACTCCTCTGCTCCCACTGGTCGAATTTCAATGATTTATAGCTCATTCAAAAGCCCTAGAAAAGTTAAGCTCAGGGAATGATTTTTGTTGAGTTCAGATTCAGGGTTGCCAGATTATGCAAGGTTAAAATATATATTATTATATTATACTAGCCATTATCGTTGCTTTGATGTTTCAAGGGGAGTAACTCCTTCTTTTTTCTTCTGTATTCAAAATTGCAGTGCACGTTTTATTATAAGTTAGTTATATTAGTTTGTATATGCTTGTATTACTGTTTCTGTTAATATTAGTTTAGTTATATATATATATATATATATATATATATATATATATATATATATATATATAATTGTGTATTTGAGCAGTAAACCCCATTTTTTTACAAGTTTCATTGAAGCCAGAGACCTGCTGAAAGACGAACAGAATGATTGCTGGAGTTGGGATGCTGAAGGTAACACCAATCAGATAAGTATATTTGTATTAATTATATATATATATATATATATATATATATATATATATATATATGTTGTTCAACATTTTCTATATTTATGGGGGAAGAATGGTCAGTATTAGAGACAGTGTGAACATAGGAATCAGTTTTGCATAGTGACTGTCACTTTCATATCTCCAGTAACTAAATATATGAATGGGTATCATAATATATTTAAATGTAAACATGACTCCAAATATGCATATATATATATATATATATGTGTGTGTGTGTTGTGTGCGTGTGTATATATATATATATATATATATATATATATATATATATATAAATGAATAAAGACAAAAGGAAACCTATTTCTATTTTTTACCAATGCATTTCATTCTCTGATGGACTTTATCAAGGCAAATGTAAGGATTTTATTTTGCAACATATATTTATAAAAAAAACAAAAATGTTGTTTTCCAATATTTTTAAGGAAATATTTTTTAAGAACACCCATAAGCATATTTACTAAAAAGTCTAGGGAAACTATGGAAGATGATAAGTGACATAATTTAATGACTAATAAAGGAAATTGAGTAAATGTTGTTATTGATGAATTTTTTATAATATAATTATTACTTATATAATTTTAGTTTGGGATTATTTTATATCTTATATATTTTAAATAAAAGGAGGTTATGAATTTAACCATTTCCTTTTAATTTTTTAACATTGTTATAGTCATATATGTTGGCTTGGGATAGGAGTAATTCTTTTAGGAATGGAGATATTTGAAAAAAGCGAGGGTGCCGATTTATATTTTGATAAGATTCAATAGCAGCACTTTCAAGAATTTTCCGTCTAAGTAAGTTACTTCTTCTTTTCTTTTTTAATCATTTCAACCCAAGTAATGCAATAAAGCCACTAAGACGCAAGTTGTTATTGACTCTTAGAGAATATGAGACAAAAAATCACTACCGAGGAGAGAGAACAATCAAAGAATAGGAATTGAGAAGGCAGAAGATACAATTGACATTACATTT